AAAAATACATTTAACATAGCTAATGCCCTAATTAAAATAATAACATATTTTTTGTAGGCCCAGCCGATTAAGTTTAATTACTGCTTTCAAGTATTCCTCCCTCCAATATTCCACTCGGCCAACCATATCTGCTGTCATTCGATTAAGATATTTTGAGAAAGCAGCCGCTTACAAGGGCGGAACCACCACGGCGTTTCCATCTCTGTCATTCAGAAATAAGTGCTGACACAAGTAACCCCATTAAATTTCTTCTATTCAATTCAATGGAAAAGTGTTTATCCACAAGTCATCCCAAAGAAACAATCTGCCTTCCATCCTATCCTATCAACACATGTCAACTAAAACATAAACAAATAAACTGCTTCTATTCATTTCAATGGAAAAGTGTTTATCCACAAGTCAGCCCAAATAAACAATCTGCCTCCTATCCTATCCTATCCTATCCTATCAACACATCTCAACTGAAACATACAAATACCAATTATTATTAGTATAAAATTCAGAGTTACTCTTAGAAATATATATATAGTGCCTCGAAAATAGTAAGGCAGATCAGGTTGAGGTGGAAATAAAATGTACTAGTTCATGAACCGAGGAATCCTAAACGCAGTAGTAAATAAAAGAAAAGAAAAGACACAGGCCAGACTCCATAACCCTCCTCTCAAACAAAAGGAAAAATAAAAAAACACAACCCATCAGCTGGTGGGTAAAGGTAATAATAATCTGTTAAAAGTATTGCCGCTCATATCAACATTGAACCTCTCAATCGCTCAATGAATCTGTGTATTGAAAATCCTGCATGTGGACTCAACACAGGTTTGCATCCAACCTAAAACTAATTGGCAATAGGTGGAGTAGCCCTCCTTGTATTTAACCCATAAGCTTATTATTTTTATACTCGATGTGGGATTTTCCCACTTAACACGCCCCCTCACGTGCAGGCCCGCTATGAATGTCGGGTCCTGTCATGTGGGTTAACACGCCCCCTTAAATGCAGGTCCGGTATCAACTTCGGGTCCTGTCAGGTGGGCTAACAACGGGCTTCCCATGGTAGAACCTGGGCTCTGATACCAGTAAGATAAAATGAACAAATAGATTTGTGAGGAAAAACCCTTCTGCGAGATACCAGAAGTGGTTGTAGTTTTCCATTTATATATAATTACAGGATGAAATTTGAATCTTAATTACAATAATTGCAGAAATAGCCGTTGGTTAAAATCACTGATTTGAAGCCTTAATGGTTGATTGCATCTTCCTGTTATCTTGGAGATTAACTGCTGGATTCTTGCTGGAGTCAATTAATTCTGATTTGCTGTGATTTTGAAGATCAAATGCCTTGCTTGAATCATATTGCCTTGAATCACGGACAGCATTTAAACCTGATGATCTTTGATATTTATCAAATGCTTTTACACTGTGGTGCTAGAAACAAATCAGTCTGCAAAAGTTAGCCTGTTAGGTTTGAGACTTCTCACATTGAGACCAAGCTAAATGCTAGCACAAAATATCTTGTCCTCGAGAGCAATTAGAACTGAAGTTTAAAGACAATCGCCTAATGAAACTCAGCAGTGATGTGTTGATATCAAAAACATTATTGAATGGTATGTCAAAAACCTATCATTTTGAGAATGTTTGGACCATTTTCTTGGAAAACCC